CCAAAGGAGGGTCAATACTTAGCGTAGTCATCAAAGCACAGGGAGTTCCCTTCTCTGGAGCAGAGTAGGGGCAAGGCCTGAAAAGCAGTTCCTCAGGCCCAGAAGTAAACTACACCCACACTGCTGTATGCAGCTGGGCAACAGAAGACTAGAAATCCAAGAGAATGTGATATCACCATGTTCCCAATCATGAGTGTTCCACTGGGCCCACTGGCTGCCAAGACATGGATGAGGTCCACTGGTAAGCCTGCCCAAGCACATGAAACATACTCTTGGGAACCAGTGCCTGACCAGATGGAGCCCTCTGTACCTTGGAGGCGAAGCAGCTTCCCTCATGACAAGCACTTAAAACCAAGTTGGGGTTTTACTGCTACCAGGTCACCCAGGTTCATAGAACCACAGATTCTAAGGGTTAGAAAAGAACTTGTCAAGGCACCCAAAAGACATAGACTTTAAAAAACACCCTTTGCAGAAAAAGTTGTATCCTTTGTCACAAAGGAAACTGAAATTAGTAGTATATTAATAGGCACTACTATTCTGATGATAAGGAGCTCTGGAAGCATAGTGGTTAAAGCATTAGGCTGCTAACCAAAAGACTAGCAGTTTGAACCCACCAGCTGCTCTGCAGGAGAAAGATGAGGCAGTCTGCTTCTGTAAAGATTTACAGCCTTGGAAACCCTCCAGGCAGTTCTACTATGTTCTAAAGGTCGCTATGAATGGGAATTGAATCAATGGCACACAACAATATATCAAAAAGAGTATTAGATAGAAATACTGCCCTGAGATAATCTTTAAACCTTAAACCAAAAATATCCCCTGGAGTCTTCTAAAAGCCAAACGATAGTTTAGTTTAACTAGTAAAGGATGTCTGCCTTGAACATTGTGTTCTTTTAAGAACCACATATATCGGATCAAAATAACAGCAACTCAGAAGATTAGGTAGGAACCTTATGGGGCAGGAGAGTAAGAATGGTTGCACAATTTGAAGAATGTAATCAATGCAATGTCATTGGACTATACATGTGGAAATTATTGAATTAGTGTATATTCTCAACAACAAAAAATAAAATAAATTATATATAAAGAATATTGGGAGCCCTGGTAGTGCAGTGACTAAGGCATTTGACTGCTAACCAGAAGACTGGCGGTTCAAATCCACCAGCCACTCCTTGGAGAGAAGGTTGGGCAATTTACTTCCATAGTGATACCGCCCGAGAAACCCAACAGAGGGGTCACTATGAGTCGGATCCAACTTGACAGCAGTGCATATATATAAAGAATAGTAGCTTAGGAGTCAGAAGATCTTAGGCCTACTGACTCAAGCATGTAGAATTCATGTGACCTTGAGAAAGCCATTTAACCCATTTGAACTTCAATTCTTTATTTAATATCTAACCTGCTATTTCCCAGGGTTATCCTAAAGATCAAATTAAATAAAATAATGAATGTGGATGAGTTTTATAAACTATAAAGGACTTAACACAAATATAAGGTATTATTATTAGCATTTTCACATAGTTTACAGTACGATTGGAATCAAAGTCATTCTCTTTCTAGGAATCCAAAGCACACATATGATCCTTGCCTTCTCAATTCCAAGAGGCAGATATTTGCATGATACAGTCAACTCTACATGATTCAAGGGCTGATTAGTGAGGGGTCTTCTGCTTCTGTCATTGTACCTTTTATTAGTTCCTCTCAGGAACGCCATGTTAACCGATAACAGCTAGAAAGCTGACCGTGGGTGTACATCAGCTCAATTACCTTGAATAACAGCTCTGGTCAAAGTTTTAGCAAAAGGAAGAATTGAAATGATTAACTAGATGGAAACTTCCGGATAATTTGTGGATTTTTCTTATCCATAAGTAATGTAGAGCAATGGAATTCTCACTTCACTGTCAGGGAGGCTGGGGTCAAGGTCAGACAGGATGGGACTAACCCAGACAAGATATTAGCATTTTCTCAGAGACCAATAAAGTAGTATATATTGGTCTTACAGATGTGCAATAGGAATTTGGATATGATTCATTCATTCACTCATTTATTCAACAAGTATGGGTGAAGAACATACTATGTGTCACAGCTCACCACTACGCTGAAAAGCCACTATTTCCTTGTCCTTGTTGCTGTCCCTTCTTTAATATTACACAGAACAACTTGGCAAAGAAAGCCCACAGCCTAACTCTTAGGAGCTATATTCACATTCCTATTACCATAAGGTGGGAGCTCTGGTAGCATAGTGCCTAAGGCACTTGACTGCTAACCAGAAGCCTGGCAGTTCAAACCCACCAGCCACTCCTCGGAAGGAAGATGGGGCAATCTACTTCCGTAGTGATACTGCCTTGGAAACCCAAGGAGGGCTCGCTATGAGTCGGGTCCCACTCGACGGCACATAACAACAACAACGTTATCATAAGACTTTTTCTCATCTTACTCTAGAGTAAGAGTAGGCAAACTATGGCCCCTGGACCAAACTCTGTCCACTCCCATTTCTGTAAATAAAGTTTCAGTGGCCACACCCATTAGTTTATATATTATTCATGGCTGTTTCCCACTACAATGGCAGAGTTCTGGAGTTGTAATAGAGACTGCATGATCCACAAAGCCTAAAATATTTCTTAGCTGGCCCTTTACATAAAAAGTTTGCCAACAACTGCCCTCAAGAGTATGACTAAATCAAAACTCATCTCTCCTGTAAATTTTTGCTTACAGACTAATAGTGTATAGGGAGCTCTGGTAGCTTAGTGCCTAAGGCACTTGACTGTTAACTAGAAGGCTGGTGGTTCAAACCCACCAGCCACTACTTGGAAGGAAGGTTGGGCAATCCACTTCCATAGTGATACCACCTCGGAAACCCAAGGAGGGGTCGCTATGAGTCAGGGCCGACTCAACAGCACATGACAACAACAGTTTGTAAGCTCCTTGAAAGCAGAGAAACTTTCTGTACCTTTGTCTTGTCATATAGAACCCTAAATTAGGGTAGAGTCAAGGCTTAGAGCAGACACAGAAAATTAAATACGTCCTTCCCCACATTTTGTTTTCAACAGATGAGCGCCTTGGAGTTCCATGGAAGACAGCATAAAACCACTGGTATTTGGTTACTTTGGCTTCTAATTCCTCAGAGTCCCTCTGTCTAAGACTTCCAAGACTCAATTTTTGGCCTCTGTCCCTTTGCATATTTATTTCCTGATCTGATGTGGAATTAGAGTTAAATAGGAGCTGTGTGCTAGAATTCCACAAGGCTGGCTCAGCAGGAAACTCTAGGGCAGGTTTTTTGGCATGCCTAACTCTTGTTAGCCTCAGCTATGCTAATTTCTAAAGCTGTTTGCTTTGCTCACATAAATCTTAGAGGCAACTTTGCATTTGGATGCACACCTTTTTATGTACAAATTATGTGACTGGTAATTCTAGGACAGAATAAGGACTAGAAAAAGGAAAAATGGGCTTAGTGGTAATTGAGTGACTCTTCTGTGGCAGGCACCATGCTAGGTGCTTTACAAACATTTTTCCATCTCATCCCACAACAACCCCATGAGACTGTGTCCTCCATTGTACCGATGGGAAAACCAAGGGGAAAAGAGTTAGGTAACTTGTCCACGTTCACAGAGCTGGATTTGAATCCAAACTGTCTGAATCTGAAGCCCATGTTTTCACTTAGTCATGTTGCCTTTTTGCTATCCTATTTATCACTGCTCACCTAAGCTACTGCACATAAATTCAAAAACAAACCCCACATTACACCAAATCCGGCACCCCTCTGGTCCCCAACTGACCGATGCACATGAGGTCTTTTAGTCTTTGGGAGATGAATGTGGGCCCTTCACCATCACAAAACAATCCACTAAAGAACACAGGCATGAAAAAGGCAAAGTCTATTTAATACACCAATTACCCTAGTAATTTGTAGGCAAACACAATTACAGGAGATTTTGACAGGTAACATATCTAAGGACCTCAGTATGAAAGGACACTCCGACTGCTAAAACACAGTAGGCCAGAGAAGAAAACGTGGCCATAATCATGAGGGAGAATGTTAGTAACACCTAGAATGGAGTGGAAATATATCTATAGCATAAGCCCAAGAATCCTTATCTACAAATATGTTCATTGTTTTAAAAAATATAACCAAACACCTATCTTCTCTAATAAAAATACAAGTGTTCGCTATAGTATGCTGTAACAAATACTGCTATGGAAATTCAGTATTTATCATTGTTCGATTCCAGAAAAATAACCAGTGTAGTAGCATTGTAGCATAATTCTAACATTTTATAGTAAACCAGGTATAATATTCTTTAACTTCTTTCTCTAGGTAAAACGTATCCCCGGCCTAGCTTGCGATATCACGAAACACTCAGTCCACTGTTATCTAGATCCTCTGCCATCTAATTTTCTGGAAATGTGAAAGTACTGATTACATTTTCATGCAGATGAAATTCAGATGTCCCTTTTTCAAAGTTTGGCTCCAAGAGTGAGAAAGAACTCTGCAAAGAAGATAGGTAATCTAAATTGTTTTTTAAGAGGATTTAGGAGAAGGCACATTGGGGAACAAATTTGCCACGTGCCCTTTAACTGTTCCTTTCCTCAGAAAACTCAACAGAGGAGACCTGGCCCTTATTACGTCAACACCAAGTTGAACATTGGTTACTTTTTTTCCTTGGTAACCAGTCATTATATATTTTATTTTTAAACTTATTTCATCCATTTTTTTTATATATCAAAAAGGTGATTTCATAGAAGAAAAATATTTTTTTTGCAGCCAGTGGTAGAAAAGGGTCATTGTCAGCTGAAAGTTTATGTATGGCCATGGTGACAGCCTAGGAAGGAATAGGTTCAGGAATTTGCCTAAAATAGCAATAATACTTTAAATAATAACAATACTACATTTCCTAGCTACAAAGTTCCTAATAGAGCCTTTTTCATAATTAACAATTATTCATAAGATAGTTGAAACAACTTTCTACGAATCACTGTCTTTGGAAACCCCAGTAATGACCTACCTGCTGGTGGCTTTATGAAAGGTGGTGGAATTAAAGGTACAATAATGGGTACATTGCCATGATCCTTTGACCCTGCAGGTGAGTCACTGAGTCCATTTCCTGTGGCAAGCCCTGAATAGCTTGTGCTTATATTGTACGGTGAAATAACACTGTCCTCAGGTAATTTGGGTTTTGGCAAAGAATTTTCTATAAAAGAAAAAAAAAATCATATTCAATACAATTAAAGAATTTAGTCAGTAGACCTAAAATTTTTTTATGACGACTTTTCTAAAGTAAAATGGTTATACACCAAAACAAATTTTTTCCTTGCAAGTCTTTAAATGTTTTACCAAATTCTACAGGACCATCCACTGATTTAAGGTAATCAGTCTTGCTACTATAAATTTCTAATGGGTTCCTTTATAATTTGCTCCACTATGATAGCTAACATCCCAGTTGTACTCATGGTGATGAATTTTAGCACTGTAAAATCCCACTGAAAACTGAGAGGCAATTAACCTTTTCCATGAATAAAGTGATATATTGTAGGCATCCTTCTCTGGCTACCTGGGGAAAAGCCTACAACATGCCCTCTAGCACTATAACAAAGTTCCACATTATTATAAACTCTGGGTCACAATATAGTCAAATGAACCAATGAGAAGGGAGCAGATGATTGAAACTGTTGTTTCTTGGGGTATTAGTAACAAAATGATAAACTAGTAAGAAAAATAAAACCTCAACTACAGAAAATAATGTTTTCCCTGTAGTAGCAAATTCTGGCACTCTTTCCTTTCCAATTCCCCAGAGGCAATGATTAGTGCCTAGGCCAAGGATTATACAAGCTATTAGTCTATAGAATATGAACTCATGACTTGCATTTTTCATTTACAGTGAAATTGATGATACTATCTCTATAGCATGATGTGTACAATTTCATAGCAAGCTTAACACAAAATTTGTCACATACATTCAATTCCATGTACCTACAGGACAGCTCATTTACATTTTGTTGTGTGGTATATCAGGAGAAAAGACACTATCCTGGAGACTGTGAGTAAAATGCTTGAACAGGTAGTTTATGCCAATATGAATTTTTCATGCAATGCAAATACTGATCAGTGATGACACACAATTAGTTTTATCTACATTTTATTAACGTTTCCCAAATTGGTTGCTTCTTCACATACTCTTCCTCTTTTCCTTGACAAACTAACTTTCATTACAAATTTAGGCTCATAAATTCGGTATCCACATCAACATCCAGCAATTCCTCCAAGTGTGCCCCATGAAACAGATCTCAAGATCTGCTAGCCACCGGTAGGATCAAGGTTATTTCATTTCTGTCAAGCTTCTGACATTTCTACTCTTTAGCTGGGCTTTAAGAAAATGCTTATGGAGTAAGTTAGGATCTAATCTACTACTCTTTTACTCCTCTTCTTACACTATCCAAGGGTGGGGAAAAGGAGAAAACTTCAAACACAAAATAGAAATAGGGCTTCCCTTCAGAATTCCCACCAAGAATGGGATGAGTGCCATTTCCAAACTGTGAATCTCCTTTGCAATTTTGATCATCTAAACCTAATATTTCACTTAACAGAAAGCCCCAACCAAACCAAACCCTCTTCCATCAAGTTGATTCTGACTCATAGCAACTCCCATAAGGTTTCCAAGGCTGGAGTAGTTTGCCTCATCTTCCTCCCACAGAGCAACTGGTGGTTTGAACCTCTGACCTTCTGGTTAGCAGCCAAATGCCTTACCCACTGAACCACCAGAGCTCCTTGCAGAAAGCCTCAATCTCCAACAATTGATGATGTATCAAAGTACTCAAGAAACTAGAAGAAGTTAGCAAACACTGTCCTTTTCTGTAAATCTGTGGGCAGGACCACAGCACTTAAAGTTTATAGTTTTTGTCTAGCTCTTCCATTGCTGGATGGAGATTAAGCCGTGTATATACTCCTCAGAAGGAAGATGGGGCAATCTACTTCCATAGTGATACTGCCTCGGAAACCCAAAGAGGGGTCGCTATGAGTCGGGTCTGACTCGACGGCACATAACAACAACTTTTGTTTTATGTTGTGCCCTTACATTCTGTGGAATTCTGCTTATGGCAAAGCACTACTGGGAATGTACATTTAAATCAACCATTGGCATAATCAACAAAATAAATCCCAATCCAACTCAAAATTCTGGCAGGTTGAGATAGTTAATCCCTCTTTGCATGAACAAAGGGACATTAAATGTCATTACCTTTGAGAACAGAAATGTGCTGCCGGCTCTCCCCATCTGTAGGGTAGCTCCTGAATTCAATATCTTCACCATCTTTCAATTCAACCTTATCATAGCCATACCAACCAAGGAGTTCATTCATGGTATTTTCTGCAAAGTTCTGAAATAGAAGCATAGCCCACTTACTTATGTAATCAATAACTATTCGAAAAGAACACATAAATCGAATTTTGTTTGCCCTATGCTGTGCACTGCCAGCCCTGCCTCATCTCCCCTGGAGCCGTGTTCATTTTTCAAGTCACGTTCAAAAATTGTAATGCATTTAAATCTCAGAATGACACATCCAATTATGACAGGCCTTCAGACATTTGCAATTTAAAGATAATAAGAAAAAAGGTATTTGTCAGTTTCGCTTACAAATAGATAGTCATATTTTAGCATATTCTTCTGCAAAGTATATATCCCACATTTATATGAAAAGAATGAAAAATAAAGCACACAAACACCTAAAAGACAAGATATTTAAACTGAAAACAATTAATCAACCTTTTTGAGGCTTCGACTCATTTAAATTAGAATTGATTTCTGATTCAGGTGTTGCTTCTTAACATGACTTAGCTCAGATAAAGCAAAATCTCAACAAAGAAATAATTTCTCAATTGTCAACCACTGCCATACAGAAAGCTGAATAGACTACAAGGGTCTCTCTTTTTAATGTCCCCTTTTGCAAGCAAAGTCTTTAAAAATCAATGCATAATTTGCTTTATAAATTTCATTAATGTCTCCATGAAATCAACAGTCACTGTGATTATTTCTGACAAGTAACATAAAAGTACCAAATAACCTTATGTTTACTCCCAAAACCCACTGCCATCAAGCCAATTTCGATTCACAGCAACCCTGTAGGACAGAGTACAACTGCCCCATAGGCTTTCTAAGGCTGTAAAACTTAATGGAAGCAGACTGCCTCATCTTTCTCCTGCAGAGCAGCTGATGGGTTGGAACCACTGACCTTTCAGTTAGCGACCGAATGCTTTAACCACTGCACCATCAGAGCTTCTTTAAGCTCCTGAAGGTTACTAGCCAGACCATATTTTGGGTACTGTGTGAAAATACTTTATGAATTGTAAGTACATAAATGTAGGGTATTATGGTTATTATTGTTTTTCTAGTTATCAGTGTTTCAAAGTAATGGGCATAGCTGGACAGATTTAAAGCTTTAACATCAGGTGATTTTTTTTTTTTTAATTACTTTATCAACTACTTGATCTGGAAACAAGATGTGAGTAAATTATCTTGATGCTCTTTTGTGCCTTAAAACATCTCTGCCAGGTAAGGCCAGATGAACCCACTAGACCAAGCTAGAAGAACTATATATTCCAACCTTCTCTATGGTTCAGAATCTTTCATTATTCTCCTTAGAAGCTGTCATTCCTGAATTACACTGGGATGTATAATTTATATACCTGAAACAAAGCACAAAGGCTAAACTGGAGTGTGCACAGTCTCAGTGTGTGCGTTCCATGTTTTCTTGAATTTCACGATTTTAGATTTCAGCAGGGGTTGCATAAAAAAGAAAAGATATTAAACTACTGACTCCACAAAAACAAACTTGACATTTCAAACCACCCACAGGATGCCAGATTATTTCTTTATTTTTTTTATTTAGTACCCACTTAAGCTTACAGTTCCAACTGGGTCAATCTGTGATGGTATAGTGCACCAGCAATTTAAAAAAAAAAAAAAAACTAGCCAGATTGATTCAGTGTTATCATCCACAAGGCCAATAGTCAGACATGTCAAGCTTTACTGGGGCATTTATTCTCTCTGATGACTGGTCATGTTCACATTAAATAGATATTCTTCTCATGAATGCACAAAGATGGTATGATCGATACAAATAATAAGCTTGGCAACTTCAGGAATACCACTGAGAAGGACTGGGCTAATGCTGCTCTACTCAATCAAAAGAGATACCTTTAATGAGGGAGTAGTCTTCCCTAACGTCCAATTTCTTTCACTGAGCTGAATGCCTTACTTGAGAATGACAGTCCCTAAGCACACAAACCGAGGTCCTCCATCAGAGGACTGGCAGTGGAAATCTCCAAGGATGGGACGTATACCTTGCACTGAAAAACCAATTCCCCACAACATTAAAAGCCCAATTCAAGCTGTCCGATTGGTCTGTGTACCATTCACCCCAATGTGCAAGAGAATGGTACCAAGACAGAAAATCTTCTGCACAGTAACTCTGGCTACCATACCCACTTTCATAGACCATTGTAGCTGGACACCACTCTCTGTCTAACCTCTAAAGTGACACAAAGGCTAGAGATGCATAATTCATGGGACAATCTCCCAGCCTAGAATATAGATTTGTTTGTTTTAGTCCAGCTGCAAATCCATTCAGCCTTTCAGCTCCCATCCCAGGGACGGCATCCAGAAGATTTGGGCATCTGGCTAAAAACTGAAGCCTCAATTGATTATTATTAATAACAAATCCATATTATTTAGGTATCTTAATGGCATCACTTTTAGTTTATGGTTTGTGCTGAGCACTCAGAGCCTTCCTAGAACAATCAATATGCACTTGATCTAGTCCATGATTTTCAATTTACTATAAATGTCCATGAAAATAAACTCTTAAAACATTCCCTTCCTTGTCATTGAAAATAAAAATACTTTAATGCCTTGATACATGACTGCAAAAGCAGAAAATAAAAGGTTTAAAAAGCTTTAAGCCATAAATCTCAAATCTTTCCCTGAAAGCAGGAACCAGATGAAAGAAAGGAAAGGAACATCAAAGTTTCATTTAGTGACTATCACTTCTGTTTTATAATACCATTGTATTAAGAAACCAGAGAACTCCCAGGAATATAAAATTTAAGTTTTTTATTCCCTAACTAGAGACTAGGTTTGAGGTCAGATTTCATATGGACTCATTTTTGCACTACACCAAAGCAAATGAAATAAGACTTTTGTAGTTATCATCTAAGAAACATAACAAATTCTAGAAGAAATAAATTTAATGTTTATGGCCCACAAGAGTTTTCAAATCTTTCTGGTAGAGAATTCCCATTGTTATTTTTTCCACATTTTTTTGTACTATTACTCTTTAAAGTTTCCTATTAAAAGAGTTATTCCTTTCCTACAAGTTTCTTATTTATGTTTTTAATAAAGGTGAAAAATAAAGATGATTAAGAGTTAAAATGCAGAGAAATTTTTGAGATTATGATGTTCAAAGATAGTAAGAGAAGCTACTATACTAAGGCAGGTTGTGAAACTTGCTTCCCCCAAAATCTTTATGAAACTGGTACCAACCATTTGTCTTAAAAGACAAGTCTGGGTAAGGAACTAAAGTAGGAAGTCTCTTAAAGTCCCTTCCAGCTCTAAGATTCTGTGAAATCAAAGAACTTCTACTTATATGAGAAATGAAATACCTTTTGGAAAGAAATGTCATAATTATAGTGATCACACATCATGAATTTTACTGAACAACCATTATTTCAAATATTTTATCATTGCTCCCATAAACCATCAAAATGTGCCAGAAATTTCAATATTTTGGCATCTGAATTACATTTTGCAGACAGCCTCTCGCCCTTGGAAGTGGCACAAAAATCCTTTCTCATACCATGTGGTCCGATTTGGGTTTGGAAAATAGGTCACTATAATTATGATGATAACGTCTAGCACTCTTATAGCACTTTACAGTGTTTCCTTGTCCTTCAGCTCTCTTGTTCCCTTCAATAACTCTATGGACCAGGTATTTGATTTCTGCACCAAACTCCTGGTGAACCTATATAACACCTCATTTTACAAAAGGAAATTAGAGCATCAGGAGAAAAACGACAGGCCTAAGGGTCATCTAGTAACATCAGAACTAAAATACAGAACTTACGATGCTCAGACCAGGCCTCTTTCCATTTTAAACTCTTTTTCATTTTAAATCCCAATATACCAGCAACTCAAAAGAAGCTACCTCCCTGAACCAATCAGAGAGTTGCAAGGAAAGCATGCTATAGGATGTAAGTGTCACAAACAAAGAGATTTCCAACTAGGGCATATTATCTGTGTTAACACTTTCCTTGCTTTCAGATTTGATCATCTACTTTCCTTAAGTACTTGTATTGTTGGAATGTGGATGGTCAAAATTCACAGTTAATAGTTAATCATCTCACTTTATAATTTTTTGGTATCACATCTGACTCTAATTGCTTTGTACTTCTAATACCTAGCCCCACTGTCTCTTCCTCACCCCCTTCAACTCCTCTTCTCATCTCTAGAGCCCCTAAGGAAGACAACTGAGTATTTCCCCAGGTAAATAATCAAGAGTTGACTTTAAGGTACTTTGAAAATAACAGTAATTATAAATTCTCAAAATACTACTGAAACACAGTACTTCAAGGTCTTCAAAAAGGACTCATTTTATTTATTTTTAAAACACCAACTAGTTTTAAAACCATAAGGTAGGTACCACCAATTGGGATTGTTTTCCATACCACATTTGCTTCACTGAATGCCCATGTGATTTCAACTTTGTATCCTACCCAAGTATGCAGAAAGTTTTCATACAGCTCCCATACATTCACCTACATGAGAAAAAAAGTTATGCCCTTTCTCTTCCCACAAACATGATTCCCATTTTCATTCCAACACCCAGTTCTAGTGAGGTATATCATTTACCCAACTACACAAAAAGTAGGTGCTTTGGTGGTACAATGGTTAGGGCATTCATCTGCTAACCAAAAAGTCGGCAGTTAGAACTCACCAGCTACTTCGCAGGAGAAAGATGAGGCAGTCTGCTTCCATAAAGATTTACAGCCTTGGAAACCCTATGAGGAGGCAGTTCTACTCTGTTCTATAGATTTGCTATGAGTTGGAAGCAATGTGATAGCCAATGGGTTGGGTTTGGTTTCTTTGGACACATAAGATATTTAACGGCAGAAGCCTTTATTTCTTTTATGCCTCATCTAGTAGAATGTAATGCTCTCAAAATGTACTCAATACATGCGTTAATACACTTAGATGCTTTCACAAATATCAAAGAAATATGTAAATACAAGAAATGGCCACACAAAATTCAGGAAAACTGAATTTAAAAAATAAATACACAAAAGTTTAAAATATTATAATATCCCGAGTTAGTGAGCACTCTCA